CCCGCGCCGGGCCAGGGCAGGTGCGGCCCGCGCGAGCACCAGGGCACCCGGCAGCTCTGTCCCGGCGCTGGCCCCCAGGACCAAAGCTCTCGGGAAGGGGTCCTGAGACAAGCGCGGGGCTCAGGTAGCATGCAGGCCTGGGTGCCACAGAGCCAGGCCCTGGTACCGCCAGGTATCAGGCTAATAGAGGGGGCTGTTGTTACGGGCAGAGCCTCTTGCATGGCAGACGGGGTTGCCATCCCGCTCCCAAAATGAGAGGTTGTTACCGATGAATAAGACGAGCTAAAGAGCCTGGGTTTCATTGGAAATGGCTCCAAGTGGCACAGCGTCTCATGTCTCGAGTACATTGCTCTGAGCGAGGAGCTGGAATGAGGCTGGGATTATGGGGCACAATCCTTTTGGGGTCACCCCAGACCAGTCTCCATCACCAGAGGACTTTGTTGAAGACTTCGGAGGGGGCGGTGCCTCACCTGAAGCTTGGTTTTTGCATGCCAGCCTGCCAACCGATGGCCACCCAGGCCCGTGTGCTAGCTACGTAGCACTGGATAAGGAAGTGATTTGGAGATGGGGTTGTGGATGCACATTCTTTTGGGGCCGCCCCAAACCATGCATCTTTGCCACTGGGAGACTCTCCCAAGAAAGCCTGGGCAGGGCACTGCCCCAACCAAAGCTTGGCTTTTGAGTGCCAGCCTGCCTCCTGACAGGTTCCCAGCCCTGCCTGTAATGTACAATGCCCTGAGTAAGGAACTGTGTTTGGGCTGGGATTGCGGGGCAAAAATCCTTTTCGGGTCACCGCAAACCACACATCACCACCACCAGCAGACTCTCCTGAAGAAGCCTGGGCATGGCGCTGCCTGACCTGAAGATCGGTTTTCATGTGCCAGACTACCAACTGACAGCCCTCCACCCAGGACTGTGTTAGGTACAAAGCCCCAAATAAGGAGCTGAGTTTGGGCTGGGATTGAAAAGCCTTCTCAGATCACTCCACAACAGATGTTTCCATCACTGGCGGCCTGTTATAAAGAAGTCTGGGCTGTGTGTTGCCCAGCCCAAAGCACAGTTTTCACATGCAGGCCTGCTAACTGACAGCCCCCCAGGTCTGTGTGCTAAGTGCACTGCCACAAATAAGGAGTTGAGTTTGGCCTGGGATTAGCGGGCAAAAAGTACTTTGGTCACTCGAAACCACATGTTGCCACCATTGGGGGACTCTCCTGGAAATGTCTGGGCAGACTCTTGCCTGACTTGAAGCTCAGTTGTGCTGAGCTTGCCGCACCCATTGTAAAAGTTCAAAAGCGATTAGTGAGGACTTCCCTTTCCCCACCAATCAGATGATGGTGGGGAGAAGGTGTGCCCTTCCCTATTCAGGGCATGGTGAAGAAC